GATTATTCCTATTATTTTTTTTAGCTCATCCTTACTATTTTCTACGTAATCCCCAGTATTTTCTAGATTATTGCTCTTATTTTCTAGATCATCCCTAATATTTTCTAGTTCATCCCTCATATTTTCTAGCTCATCTCGAGTATTTTATAGATTATTCCTATTATTTTCCAGCTCTTACCTAATATTATCAAGCTCATCCTCACCAAGCAAATCCCTAGAAATTTCTAGATTATTCCAATTATTTTCTAGCTCATCCCCAGTATGGTTTAGTTCATACCCAGTATTTTCTAGCTCATCCCCAGTATTTTTTTTGATGACCCTATTATATTGTAGCTCATCCCTAATATATTCTAGCTCATCCCCAGTATTTTCTATCTCACCCTTTATTTTTTCTTCCTCATCCCCAGTAGTTTCTATGTTATCTGTAATATTTTCTAGCTCATCCCCAGTAGTTTCTACGACATCCCTGATATATTTTAGCTCAACCCTAGTATTTTCTTCCTCGGTACCAGTATTTTATAATTTTCTAGCTCTCTTCCAATATTTTCTTTAGCTCATCCTTAGTATTTTCTAGCTCCCTCCCCAGTATTTTCTAGCTCACCTCCAGTATTCATCAGTATTTTCTAGATCATTCATAGTATTTTCTAGCTTGAACCCTAATATTATCTAGCTTATCCCGAATATTCCCAGCTATTTTCTAGCTCATCCCCAGTATTTTCTACTTCATTCCTAGTATTTTTTTGCTCATCCCTAATATTTTCTAGGTCATTCCCAGTATTTTCTAGCTCATTCGTAATATTTTCTAGCTCATCCTCAGTATTTTCTAGCTCATTCCCAGTATTTTTTAGCTCATTCGTAATATTTTCTAGCTCATCCTCAGTATTTTCTAGCTCATTCCCAGTATTTTAGATTATTCCTATTATTTTCTAGCTCATCCTCAGTATTTTCTAGCTCATTTACAGTATTTTAGATTATTTCTATTATTTTTAAACTTATCATTAGTGTATTTTAGCTAATCCCTAATATATTGTAGCTCATCCTCAGTATTTTCTAGCTCACCCCTTATTTATTTTTTTTAGTGATGAGCTATAAAATATTAAGAATAGTCCCAAAAAAAGATACTGGGGATGAGCTAGAAAAAATTAGGGATCAGCTAGAAAATATTAGGGATGAGCTAGAATATAATAGTAATAATCTAGAAAATACTGGGGATAAGCTAAAAAATATTAGGGAAGAGTTTGAAAAAAATAGGAATAATCTAGATAATACTGGAGATGAGCCAGACAATATAAGGGATGAGCTGGAAAATAATAAGAATAATCTAGAACATATTGGGGGTGAGTTAAAAAATATTAGGGATGAACTAGGAAATAATATGAATGATGTAGAAAATACTGGAGATGAGCTAAAAAATATTAGGAATAATCTAGAAAATACTGGGGATGAGTTAGAAAATATTAGGGATGAGCTAGAAAATAATAGGAACAATCTAGATAATACTGGGGATCCGATAAGCTAGAAAATATAAGGCATGAGTTACAAAATACTGAGGATGAGGTAAAACATATTAGGGCTGACCTAGAAATTATTTAGGATGAACTAAAAAAATATTAAGGATGAGCGAGAAAATATGAGGGATGAACTAGAAAATATTAGAGTTGATCTAGAAAATAAGAGAAATAATCTAGAAAATACTGGAGATGACCTAGAAAATATTAAGGATGAGCTAAAAAAAATAATAGGAATTATCTAGGAAAAAAAAGGATAAGCTGAAAAATACTAGGGATCAGCTTGAAAATACTGGGGATGAGCTAGAAATAAGAGGATTAATCTAGAAAATTCCTGGGATGAGCTAGAAAGTATTAGGAATGAGCTAGATAATACTACTGAGGATGAGGAAGAAAAAATAATGGGTGAGCTAGAAAATACTGGATATGAGCTAGAATATATTAGGGGTGAGCTAGAAAATATTAGGGATAAGCCCCAAAAAGTAATAGTAAAACATTTAGAATATACTGGGGATGAGCTAGGAAATATTAGGGATGAGCTAGAAAATAATAGAGATGAGATAGAATTTAAAAGAAATAATCTTGAAAATATTGGGGATGAACTAAAAAAAATACTCGGGATGAGCTAGAAAATACTGGAGATGACTTACAAAATATTAGGGATGAGCTAGAAAATAATAGAAATAATCTAGAAAATACTGGGGATGAGCTAGAACATATTAGGGATGAGCTAGAAAATAATAGGAATAATCTAGAAAATACTGAGGATGAGCTAGAAAAATAATATTAGGGATGAGCTAGAAAATAATAGAGATGAGAAAGAATTTAATAGAAATAATCTTGAAAATACTGGGGATGAGCTTGAAAATACTGGAGATGACTTACAAAATATTAGGGATGAGCTAGAAAATAATAGGAATAGTAAAATTAAAACACTGGAGATGAGCTAGAAAAAATTAGGGATCAGATAGAAAATAATAGGGATGAGCTAGAATATAATAGTAATAATCTAGAAAATACTGGGGATAAGCTGAAAAATATTAGGGAAGAGCTTGGAAAAAAAGGAATAATCTAGATAATACTGGAGAAGAGCCAGACAATATTAGGGATGAGCTGAATAATAATAAGAATAATCTAGAACATATTGGGGGTGAGTTAAAGAATATAAGGGATGAACTAGAAAATAATATGAATGATGTAGAAAATACTCGGGATGAGCTAGAAAATATTAGGGATGAGCTAGAAAATAATAGGAATAATCTAGATAATACTGGGGATAAGCTAGAAAATAAAAGGCATGAGTTACAAAATACTGAGGATGAGGTAAAAAATATTAGGGCTGACCTAGAAATTATTTAGGATGAACTAAAAAATATTAGGGATGAGCTAGAAAATATTAAGGATGAGCTAGATAATAATAGTAATAATCTAGAAAATACTGGGGATAACTTTAAAAATAATTATGGAAGAGCTGGAAAAAAATGAGGAATAATCTAGAAAATACTGAAGATGAGCTAAAAAATATTAGGGCTGAGCTGGAAAATAATTATAATAATCTAGAAAATAGTGGGGATGAGCTAGAAAATATCAGGACTGAACTAGAAAATACTAGGAATAACGTAGACAATATTAGGGATGAGGTACATAATAATTTGAATATCATAGAAAATACTGGGGATGAATTAAAAAATATTAGGGATGAGCTAGAAATTAATAGGAATAATTGAGAAAATACAAGGGATTATCCTAAAAATAGTGAGGGAGAGCTAAAAAATATTAGGGAACAGCTGGAAAATAATAGGAATAATCTATAAAATACTGGAGATGAGCTAGAAAATATTAGGGATGAGCTAGAAAATATTCAGGATATGCCCCAAAAAGTAATGGAAATAATTTAGAAAATACTGAGGATGAGCTGGAAAATATAAGGGATGAGTTAGAAAATAATGATAGGCAATACATAAATATATATATATATATATATAACATAACAACGATCTGCAAATACACAGCAGTTGGAACACAATAAATATGAGATTTGACCTCGTAGACTTTATCATGATACTTTATTGACACCTTGAAGGTCGAGGGAAGGAAACAATGATGCTAGACAACAACAAAAGAATGCTTCATTGTAATAGAGGGGGAAGAAATCATAGCAAAAGTTGCTGGAGTCAATAAAAAGTAAAAAAAGAAAGTGTGTAAAGTGCACATTGGATCATCATGATTACAAACAGAAAGAGGAGCAAGAAGCACAAAAGATAACATTCTTGTCATTGGCTAAAAAACTTAGATTAAGGACCTTTTCAGACACATTTGTGAGTTTTTTAATATTTCACCTCAAGGCGCAGGGTTCCCTCTCCCTCTGGCTTGAATAGGTCACTCACAACACCGGAACTATGACATTGAGAAACATCAGCCTCAGCTCTTGAGACTTGAGTGATTTATTTATTTTTAGCTCGCATTTGTTATATACTTTTTAAAATTAAAAATATGGCATCGGAAGTAGGGAATGGGACAAAACGAGTTTGAAAAAAAGACACCGCTACCGTCACAGCTTGTTTGCAATGCCATCACAGCCTGTGTGTTGTGTATTATATAATATTCTTTTTGGTCAGGAGCAGTGGCCACGCATATGGTTTAACAAATAATATTTCACCAGTATTAACTTCACCTTCCAATACTTCACTTTCCAATTTTTTACCCCCGCGATCCTACGGCAGGAAGAGAAAAAAACATGTAGTCTTCTTGGACAAGGACGAAAAAAGTTGGGAAGGTGCAGCGTGTATGATGAGCATATTGTGAGAACAGCTTGGTCGTACATGTTACGTGTCTGTGGAGGGTCGAAGGAGAGGAGGTCAGTTCCACCCAACAGTGTCCATAGATGTCACGACGTGGTGGAATCAGGCCGGGGCGGAACCACCGCCAGCGCAGATTTTGGGAAGTTCTTGCAACCGCGGAAAATCGCGGATCCGCGGAAAGCTGTGATCCCTGAACGTTACAACAAACTTGCAAAAATACACTTTATCTTAGCAGGGGACAAGAATCTGTGCCCCATCCTCTGATGTCATATTTTCATATGGTTATTTATAGGGAGAAAACTAATACTGCAGAGTAGATCTAAACATTACAGCAGTAAAAAAAAAAAAAGGTGCTTATTTTTAGATCCTGGTTTAAAATTATTTTTTTTAAAATATGGACAATGATTTCAAATAAATTACAAAACAAACAAATAAATAAAATCACTGTTGATTTGAAAGAAGACATTTCAAGTCTCAATAGCTTTAATGCATTATATATAAAAATAATTATATCATATATGGTCCCTTTTAAGCGCAAGGGGGCTAAGCTGAAAACTGCTGTTTTGAGAAAATCGAAGGTAAAGCTTTTGCCCCTTGTTTCAGTTTCTTTAAAAGACAAGGAGAGTTTTCTCTATAACCAAACAAATACTACTCACCATTGAAGCCAAACTTCTCCTATAGGTAGGGCAATGCCCACTTTTGGTGTAGGTCAAGATTTGTGGAAACCCCCGAAATCTGGGTTAGCCCGCATGTCCTTAAAAGAGACCAACTACAGTGCATCAACAAAGCTGAAAGTAACCGAAAGTAAACATACATAGTGAGAAAACAAGCACAATCATCATTGAAGTCTCGCTTGCAACCCGTCGTAGCGAATCGGGGGGAAGTGGTTGTGCCGAGTGGGCTCCTGGTAATCCGGTGGGTTGTACAGACCCCACTTCGGGGTGGGCACTTCCTGCGGGAATGGCACGGGGTAGCTCCAGTTGCCGCGGTAACCTTTGTTGTGGGGCATGGAGCGCTGCACGTCCTTCATCATGACCTCGTTGTTGTACGGCACAAAGTCGTCGTGGACGCGGCTGGTGGGCTTGGACGGTCGCTCCCAGTGCCAGTTCACGTTCTTGTAGTCGGCTGAAACAACAATAACAATAGTAATAATACTACTAATAATAATGATATAAAATAATAATAATAATAATAATGATAGTGATTCTAATGATAATAATAGTAATATGATAATAACCATAAGAATAATAATAATAATGATGATCATAATAATAATAATAATAATGTAATGATAATAATAATTGCATTTATAGTGTATATCCATGTTCCACAGCTGAAACAATAATAATTTATTTATTTATTATCTAATTGAGGTATTTGCTTTATTTTTATATTTTTATATTTATTAATTATAATTAATACTGCCCTTAATCGCGTTATCAATAAAAATGGACGGTAATCTAAATGGTGACACTACGGGGGGTGGGGGGTGGTGGTGGTGGGGGGGGGCAATTACAGCGAATTATTATTGGTGATTTCCAGGTTGAGAACCATAGATACGGGGTGCATGGAAGCGGGACCAATAAATTGGAAAAAAGAATATTAATCCGCAGACAGGAAAAAGAGGCTAAAACAGCACCTGGACATGGATGGCTGGTGCCTCTATAAATAAATCATTGATGGTCAGGTCAGGTGTAATACTGATAATTTCATATTTCACAGAATCCTAAGCACTGAGACCTCAAACTGAAGACTGCAAACTGTAAACGAAAGAGCATTGCTATAGCAAAATAAAAAAAGGATCAAATAAAAATATTATTTTAAAAAGTAGAGAACACACCTCTCCTTATTTGGTTCGTCTCTCGGTTGAACCAGTCAGGGTGTCTGGATGTTGATCTCCACGCATACCAGTCAGGATGTTCACGGCTCCACTTTCTCCATCCAGCCTTCAAAGCAAAAAAAAAAAGTAAATTTACATCCGATTTACAACTGAACGCCCCCCCCCCCCCTATTTCATACCGTTGTTTGTTGGTTCAATTCTACTTTAACATCAACTAATCAAATTTCCTGAGACCAACAAAAGGATCCCGGGCAGTATTGCATCAGACGTAAGTCATTTTTTGGCGGCCTTTGAGATACGTCTGTATGCAATACTGCCCCCGGAATGCTCAAATATGTTGGTCAAGCAAAAAGAAACATAAAAAAGACCTGATGGCAACTGTACTACAGGGCGAAGCAGAGGCAGAGAGAAATAAGGGAGGACCTCCTACAGCATACGTTGAAAACGTAAATTCTGACAGTGGAGTACAACTTCATGAAATAAACCATTCAAAGCAGAGATCGGAGGGAAGATGGAGGCCTGTTGGGGCAAGGAGTGGGGCACTAACAGACGAATGGACCAACACGGCAATGGTGACAGGGGAATCAGACAGAGATCAGCCGATATCTTTTTTACACAACATAATCACAGTCAATCTTCTGTCTTAACAATGCTTAACTTTTCCTCACACTGTACTGACCTGCTTGAGTTCACACTCTTCAGATTTTTAAACTATAAATAAGGCTTTGAAGTTCCATACATATATATATGTGAAGCGGGCTGACAAAATGAGTTACTTCTCGGAATCAAGCCTTTAAAGAATAGATATATCACGCTTACAGGTGAAGATTTTACAGTTTATGGGTATGACATAATAAAAGACAGGTTATAGTGAAAGAATATGGAATCAATAATAAAAAATCTACAAATTTGACCCTATAATGTCGATTTTTGGCCTATATATCTCCATTTGTGGATTGCAAGAAGTAACTCATTTTGTCAGCACGTCTCACATATAAAAATTCATATGAATCTTATAAATACTGAAGAGAGAGGAAAATAAGGTCTCTTTCTATGAAAATACTCAACAAAACAATTTATTTACCCTAGCAACATCAGGGTGACTGCAGTGATACGTTTTCCATTCATGAAGCTGAGGTTGCCTGAAAAAAATGCAAAAATTTAGTTTTACTAATTAAAAGCAAATTATTAATTATGTGATGAGTAATATCATGTAATGGAAAATATATTATGTGCTTCAAAACGGCATATGTGCATATTTAAAACCAGTCTTTGAAAGTTTCAGTTTCCTTATCGGACTAAATCATCTTGTTCTATCTGTTCTCAAAGTGTGTATGTGTGCCTATGTTTAGGCTGAGTGAACAATCTTGTTACGTGCGATCTTTGCCGTACCCTATCTGCCACAGTGGACCTGCCAGGTTGGATGAGATGGCTGCCCCTAGCCCGTGAATGCTGTTTGTGTGTGTGTGTGTGTGTGTGTATGAGTGTATGTAGTGTGTGTGTGTGTGTGTGTGTGTGTGTGTGTGTGTGTGTGTGTGTGTGTGAGAGAGAGAGAGAGAGAGAGAGAGAGAGAGAGAGAGGGGGGGGGGGGGTAAATATTAAACTTTAAAGTTAATACAAGCAAATGGACATCCATCTGATTGGGGGGGGGGGGGGGGGGATATAGGCTACTAATAATATTTAGCAGAAGCAATATCTAAATTTCAATCAAATTGACTTTCAGCAAGGAACAGAGGAAAATCAGCAATGCTCTTTTCTGGATACTCAGCATGAACCTTCACGACAATCTGCTAAACTTAGGTTCGCTTCCACTCTCACAGTTAAACGTTAAATGCTTGTTTTGTAAGTAATGCAACAACGAAATAACAATTATAATATCGTAATAATAATGTCTTCTCACCATTGTTTGGGCAATTTGGCTGGTGTGGATAAAAATCCGATAGCTGCTGCGTTCGTTGAGCTCATGACAAGCCGTGGTGGAAATCAGTGCCGCAAATTTCACCAGATGAGATTTGGGCCAAGTTGAGAACCCTTCCCCTTCAAACAAAACGATGCACTTTTCGTTCAATGGCGTAGCGATGTTAGTCCAGTACAAAAATAAAAGACTGAGAGACTATAAATTGCTCAGTGTGAGAATAATATTTAGGAAATTACAGCCTCTAATTTTTGTTTGTAAAAGAAAAATAATAAGTCTGTGTTTTGGGGATGATGTGTCTCAATTTTCCACTTGATTCCTCAATGCGTATTCATTTTTTCTTTAGGCTGTAAGCGATTGTAAACATCACTATAGTAGCAACATGGCGAAGCGTTGCTAGTTACGCTTTTTATAGCGTTAACAAACGAAAAGAATTGTTTTTTGCCAATAAATACAGACCAAAATTGAATTTCTAACTTAAGAAAATATTTATTTGTAAATTATATTTAATCTTAGAGAGTCTTGTATGAAATTTCACAATTTAATGTTCAAAAGTGTTTATATTTTGAAACATCGGAAGCTTCAGCTTCACTTGATTTCCATCCCTCGGCCGATAGATGAACCGAGATTTCCGCTAAGAGACCCGAGTTGCCAACTTCGTTTTCTAATAGACTGTTGAAAAATGGCAGACACCCTTTTCTTCAAACGGTCTCAGACCATGTATCCGTACTGGGTGAATATGCCCCCCACAGTACCGAGATATCCAGCGTCTCAAGATATGTTCAGGTATACTTCATGCCTTGTAAATGTCTACAACGACAAAACTATGTAATATAGGGACTAATGTAATCTCGTTGTCTCGTATAAATGAGTGCCTCGATCTGTAGCAGTGTCCAGCACCAGTGCAAGTCCTTTCCCATAAAACACCAGGCAGAAATTTTGGCGATTGTTAAGATTCCCGCGTTTAATTCTGATGTGCGTTTTCATACCCTCAGGCATATTTCCCTTTGATCCCTAACCTCAACCCTAACCCTAACCCTAACCATGGCCGCCCTAACCCTAACCCTAACCCTAAGCTAGGGTTAGGGACCAAAGCGAAATATGCCTGAGGGTATGAAAAACGCACATTGGAATTAAACGCGGGAATCTTAACAATCGCCGAAATTTTACTATTCTTGGTGTTACCAGAAATCTGAGTCTATTGCATCCTCTGTTTAGACTTCTTCACTTTTCGCATTATAAGAAATTTACCTCTATTTTAGGACTGATTAAAAAGAGCCTCATTATAAGAATGAGTTCCGTTTGTTTTGTGCCTGCTATTGAAAAGGAGTAAACAAGGTTTTATCCTTCTCAGCCTCTGTGTTTACCACTCGCAAAGATTTAGGGTTGAATTCCGCTACGGTCGAAATTTTCTCTTCATTCCTGGAATGGTTTTTTTTTCTTCTCATGAGTTCTCAATCCCATGTCCTTGTACTCTGACTTAACAAAAAAGAAAATCTAAATTAGGTATTTTACGTGAATACGCAGGCCCTATATAACATTGGGAACCCAATGTCTTCTGTGTACACGGGCGATTTGAAACGATTGCTATTTATATAGTGCTATGTCATGTCCCTTCTGGTACTACTTTCTTGTTTTGCTCAGCAATCGTCTGTTCTAGTATCTTCCTCTGCTGCGTTCGTGATTAAACGTTTGTTTCACAGGTTGCAAACAATCAAAGTTGTCACAAAAATATCTGAACTGTCAACTGAGTATCTGAATCTGACAGTCTCCACCTTTGTTATGATTCATGAAACGACAATGCCTCTATGTTTCTTAGCATAGATATATAATATCTATTATATTTGCTTCTTGTTTTATTCATCCAGACGAGAGGAACCAGACAAATATACAAAAAGGGATGGCAGACAAGGGTATCAGGTAAGCTGTATATGCCGTTACAAACCTCTGTTGGTGTAGATTTGGGAAGTTGTCGAGATGGTTCAATATGAGATAGTATTTTTCAGGCAAGATGCAATAGACTTTACTGTGGTATTTAGGACGTTTTATTGTATTCTCTGTATGGAAAATGCTTGTACATTACCCACATTATACAACGATCAAATTCTTCTCTTACCCATATGTCCATCTTTTTCATAATAATATTATTATTAATAAGCTATTTGATTTATTCTTTGTTTTTTGGTAAGAAATGAAAGTAAAAGGCATTCGTACCATTCAAATCGTCTCTTAGATGTGCAAGTTTTAGCCATGGCGTCTTGTTATTGATGATGCTGCACACAGGATGTAGATTTCTGTCTTTCACGATGTAATTAGAATTTTTGTGAAGCCATTTCTAAAAAATGGGGAAAAGAATCTAGGTTTTGTTTGGATTGACGAGAGGTTTGTTTCATTCATGAGTTCAGGGCAGGTGACAAATTCACTTTTTGTCGTATGATGAAAGTATTGGTCTCATAGACGATAAACAATCTTCCTTGACAGAACTGGACAGACAAGTGGTACGACTGGGGTCATCCTGTTCGGCGCCAGGAGGAGTTGCCACTGGTGGCCGATAGGCACGAGCCTTTGTCGAGACCCTGGCAATATGGCGTCCACATGGGGGTCACCGGAGAGCCCAAGTGGACACGAGAGGGAAAGGACTGGCCCATCAATCAGAAGAAGTACCTCAGGTATGGCGGAGAGATTTGTACGATATGTGAAGCGTGCCGACAAAATGAGTTACTTCTTGAATCCAAGCCTTATTGAAATAAATACATCACGCTATTTGGTGAAATTTTTACAATTTATATGTATCGAATAATAAATGGCACGTTATACAAAAAGAATGTGGCATCAATAGAAAATCTACTAATCTGACCCTATAGTGTGGGCTTTTGGATAATATTTCCGTTTGTGGATTGCGAGAAGTAACTCATTTTGTCAGCACGCTTCACATATAGTGCTGGTCTTGATATGGAAATGTATCTGAGGTAGTATTTAAAGTTTTGTGAGTGGGTGGTTGCCGGGTGCTCTGGTGTGGTTTGCTTCTTCTTTCCTATCACCAAACATCTATCTTCTTTATCTCCCGTCCTTCTTATTTTTGTGTATGTTACTCTCTTGTAACACATATAATCTTCGGCAGTTATATGACCGTATTGTGTTCCAAGTGCCGTAAAGCACTTACTAAAAAAAAAGAAGTTTTGTGCTTCTGTTTTTGGTACATATACATACATTCTAGCACTCACGTAGCAAGCACGGACATAGAGAAAAAAACACATTACAAACATGCACATAGCAAACACACATAGCAAATTAGCCCATGCGACTTTTGGAACCTTTTGTCAGTCACACAACACACATTATATTTCTGGTGTCTCTCTCCCTCCCTCCCCACCTCTATCTCTCTCCCTCCCTCCCCACCTCTATTTCTCACTTTCTCCCTCCCCACCTCTATTTCTCACTTTCTCCCTCCCCACCTCTATCTCTCTCCCTCCCTCCCCACCTCTCTATCTCTCTCCTTCCCTCCCCACCTCTCTATCTCTCTCCCTCCCTCCCCACCTCTCTCTCTATCTCTCTCTCTCCCCACAGATCAGGGATCCCCAACACAGAAAACCACCGAGCACGAGCGATGCGAGAGCTGAGTTTCCGCGACGAGAAGCTGTACCCGTTCTCCAACAACATGACGTCGACGTACCGCCGGCCCGTCTACTCCGTGTTCGGACCCATGCAGAAAGAACCGGTGTTTGGTCTGACCCGACAGCGAAACCGCCATGGCCACATGCCCTTTGAGGATTATTATTGATGCCCGACAAAGACAGTAGTCTTGTTTTCTTGCGAGAGTGAAAGTTGAATTTTGAATTATCATTTTGAATTTTTTTTAATCTCTTGAATCCTTTTATAAAGACAGAACTCATCTTTTATTCTGTTGTTGTTTATCTGTTAATAATCACCGCAGAAAATGTGCGTTTTACAGGGATGCTGATGAGATTTTATAAAAAACCCTGAAAATTTACACATTTTATAGACTTAACTAATGTAGGGGTACCGGTACACAAAATAGACAACAAATTCTTAGATAATTAAATAAATATTCAGTTGGTAAAAATAACGGAATCCCCCCCTCCCTCAACCAGAAAAATGTTATCCCTGGTTTTTTTTACCTAAATCAGATATATTATTATAGAAATGAAATCCTATTTTAAAAAAGCCACAATCTAGTATATTTTTTTTTCTATGTTCGGGAAAATTTCCAAATTTCTGATTACGTGTACAAGCCTTTTGAGGAACTGACTTCGTCATACAGTAACTTCCTGTTTGTTTCAAGTTCTAGCTGTAGAATTCTTTTATCTCATGTACAAAACACATTTTTAATTAAATGCTTTCCAGTGGACAACTCAGTTCTGTTTCTGCTTTCCCTCGAGTAGACAACTCAGTCATGTTTCTGCCCAAACATGGCGGTCTGAATTCCTCTGTTCTCTTTGTTTTCATTTCCCTGCTGTGCTGATAATAACTGATTTGCGTGAACTGTGTCTGAAGTGTGTTCTACGTTATTACATCAGAGACTTTCAGTGGAGTTGGGGCGGTACGTATCTATAGTATATCTGCTTCTCCTGTTGTTAAATACCTCAACTTTTGTGAGAATTACTGAAGTCCCGAACTGAAAATGAAAGAATGTGTGAATGTGTGTAAAATGGTATATGGTCGCTTTAAGCACAAGGGGGCTATCCTGAAAAATGCTGTTTTGAGAAAATTGAAGGTTAAGTTTTTGGATCCCTGTTCAGTTTCTTTAAAAGACAAGGAGAGTTTTCTCTATAACCAAACAAATATACTCACCAATGAAACCAAACTTATCCTATAATAGGTAGGGCAATACCCACTTTTGGTGTAGGTCAAGATTTCTGGAAACCCCTGAAATCTGGGTTAGCCCGTTTGTCGTTAAAAGCGACCATATAAATAAATATATATATATATGAAAGTAAATGATAGCCTTTTTGTTTCCTTGCTCCATGATTAAATTTGAATTTGAAGAAATATTCGTGTTTGTTTGGAATTTGTTTATCTTTGCTCTCCTCAAGGATCATAGAATTTCTTTTATGGAAATTGAGTAACTGAACCCTTATAGACATATGTGAGGCTGGCAGCGTGGTGGAATCAGGCTCTCGTCTATATGTGAGGCAGCGTGGAGGAATCAGGCTCTCGTCTATACGTGAGGCAGCGTGGAGGAATCAGGCTCTCGTCTATATGTGAGGCAGCGTGGAGGAATCAGGCTCTCGTCTATATGTGAGGCAGCGTGGTGGAATCAGGCTCTCGTCTATATGTGAGGCAGCGTGGTGGAATCAGGCTCTCCTCAAAATAATCCAAATGAAGAAACTTGAATTTTTTCCCAGGTTTGGGAATTTTTATCAAATTTTTGTTTTTTTGGCTCAAAACTTTTCATGCCCATTAAAATTAAAGAACTCATTTATGTGTGGATTTTTCTGAAAAACGTTGATTTAAGGCACAAAAATGTAAATTTTCAATTACCTCGGACTCTTAAGCTAAGGAAATAACTAATCTTTGGCGGCTATTTTCTCACTAATTTTGCCTCTGAAAACAGGTGACCCCCACCTCCTTCATTCGCAAATATCTGGACCTGTATTCAAGATAAATGGATACTATTTTCATCCAAATAAAGACAAGGGAACAAGCTTCAAGATGATGTCAATTACTCTACATGCCCAAAAATTGACGAGAGCCTGATTCCACCACGCTGCCTCACATATTTTTCTGATGTAGTCAAGTTAATCACTAGATCCAGTTCACTCAACAACAAAAAAACTCAACCCCCCAAAAAATCCCAACCAAAACAACACCAACAAACAAAAAAACCCCCCAACAAACAATTGATCAAAACAACAACAAAATTCTCGTTTCAAGATTGTAGGAGATTTAATTTGTAAAAATGTTTCATATGATTGAGACTAGAGAGAACTGGTACGGTACAGGCGAGTGTAGGTCCCAGAAATTGCGAGCCGTGAACAATGCAGTGTCAGAAAAACACACACAGAGGGAAGCATGAATTAGGTCCATACGTCGAAAACCTAACAACTGAAAACTAACAAAGAAAAAATAATAATAAGGTGCACATATTAAGTCCATCTTTATGCAAATTTTCTTACTATGACCTTGATAACAAATCAACACACACAAGAAGTCTAATAATAGTTCCTGAAAATCAAACCCAGATACACATTACATTACACTACTTTGGCAAAAACACGGTCAATGTGCTTTGACACGAACACAAAACTGCATCATTGATGGGCTCCCACGAGTTATGACTTGCTGATAGTTCTGAAGCCCTGTGGGGCAAAGTGCAAGGAAAACACAGGATCTCGGAGACAAACATTATTAACTGCTCACACAAATAAGAAAGAATAGGCAACACAAGTTTTCAAAATTTTGTTTTAAATGTAAGTGGGTTTTTTTTTTCCCATTGAAACAATTTCGATCATTTAGGAGGCGGGCTTCCGATCTTGCCTGCCTGTCAGGGCCAACCCGGGCTGAGAGGGATACAACATCCCAGCAGACAGACCCGGGCTGAGAGGGATACAACATCCCAGCAGACAGACCCGGGCTGAGAGGGATACAAAATCCCAGCAGACAGACCCGGGCTGAGAGGGATACAAAATCCCAGCAGACAGACCCGGGCTGAGAGGGATACAAAATCCCAGAAGACAGACCCGGGATACAATGCAGCCTCTCTATAATGACATCGTCGGGACCAGAAAAAAATACGTTACAGAGAGTTGTCGTTATAGAGAGTTGTCGTTACAGTTACAGAGAGTTGTCGTTACAGTTATAGAGAGGCAACCAAAAATTACTAATGATATAAAGAAAAAAAATGGGGACCTGGGCACCACGTCGCTATACAGAGGATGTCGTTATATCAAAGGTCGTTATTGAGAGGCTGCACTGTGCTTTATGACAATTCTCTCTATTCAGCTCTGTCTGCTGGGGGTAAAACTATGGACTGTACTGTAAAGTACTTAGAGTTTTGTTGTTGAGTCTGAATTTTGCACTATACAAAAAAGCTTTCTATTTCTATTATCATTATTAATCAAACTGGAGTCTTCTGCGTGTGACAGCGAAGTGCCCCACCCCTATACTGCCGTAAGCTGACAAAACGACTTTTTTAATTCACAGCAGTTTTTTAAAAAAGAGGGGGTTTTTTTGGTCAACATAAGCATTGAAAAATAGCGTTCTTCCAAAATTTCAATTCTAATTTATTTATTCAAAAACTAGTCACACTTTCACTTTGATTTTTTTCTCACACAAGTAGGGAAACTGATCAGGATTTCGATTTAGCAAAAATAAAAAATGTTGGTGGCAAAATGACTTAAAAAATAAGGCATGTTGTCAGCTTAGGCAGTACGACTCAGTCAGTCACCAGTCCAGAATTGTTCTCGCATTCTCCCACAGAGGCGTGGATAGACGAGATGAAATATCATGAATAGTTTGTTCAATGGAGAATAAGGGAGAGATATATTCACAGTACGTACGTGTGTGTGTAACAGCTGGGGGGGGGGGGGGGGGAATGATGACAACGTTCTCTCATGCTTGGTAAACTCTCTACACAACATTCAGGATGGGTACACATGACATATGATGGGTACACATGACATATGACGGGTACACATGACATATGACGGGTACACACGACACATGATGGGTACACATGACATGACGGGTACACATGACATATGATGGGTACACACGACATATGATGGGTACACACGACATATGATGGGTACACATGACATATGATGGGTACACATGACATATGATGGGTACACATGACATATGATGGGTACACATGACATATGACGGGTACACATGACATATGATGGGTACACATGACATATGACGGGTACACATGACATATGATGGGTACACATGACATATGATGGGTACATATATGAATTATGGAACTGCATGCAATAGTGGAGGAGAACAAAAAACCCCACAGTCAAGCCATGCACGGGGGTCAAGTACCGTCTGTTTCGTTTTTAGTAGAGGTTTTACGGCGCTCGCAACCGCATAAGGTCATATGATGAGCGCCATGGGGTGGATGTCAAAAGAGAAGTCCTTACAGGGAATCAGGCTTACTCTGCTCACCTCTCTAGCCTCAACAGCACGAAGTACTGTGAGATGACCGGCACATGATACAATTTAAAAAAAAAAAAAAAAAGATACAAAATATACAATGTACAATGTACGTCTGTACGGGGCAAAATGGGACAATGTGGGAGGTCAATCCAAATAGTTAAATATACGAAACCTTTGTACAGAGATATGAATAGGAGGTGGGGGTGGGGGTGGGGTGAATTCAATAACTTTCTATTATTTTGCTTGGGTTACAAGAACCGCCTAGCCGCACGCTTGTCAACTGCTAGATATTTGATTTCATCTGTAAATCATTTCAAAATTTCATGTCTTGTCTTCACATCGGATCAAATTGGGCAGACAGGGTCATAAAAAAAGCACAGTAATGTTAGGTTTCCTATTTCTTCTTCGAAACTGTCGAGACCAGGTTATCGGAATCTATGCCTGGGTATATTATAGCCTCGTCGTCTCTATCTCCTCCTTTCTTTCTTTCTTTCTCTCGCCATCTATTGATCTCCTGTTCCTTCTTCTTCGCGTCTCTTATTCCTCCTCTCTCTCACTCTCTTACTCTCTTACTCTCTTACTCTCTCTATCTGTGTGTGTGTGTGTGTGTGTGTGTG